GTGAATGAATTTTGTCTAGATCAACAAGTACTTTTAAAAAAACAATGGTGGGATAATTATGTCACGTTTATTTAATTGGTTGATGCATGCAAACAACTTTAATTAGTTCATTTGTCTCTTAGTGATTGTACTGTAAATTATGTGCAGACACATTGTGGAGATACCATGATTCGAACAATAGAGGGATTATCTCAAAGGAATATTTACATAACAGTGCAACATTGGTTTTGTCTTTCTGAACAGTATCTTGTGCATATGTGTAGCCTGGGAAAAAAGTAGGATGCACAATGGGTGTCATGTCTTGTAGGGAACTGTTATTAAAGTTAACATCTGTAGACCAGTAATTATTTTTTATCTGACAGTAAAAACTATAAAATTTAGCCATCTGAAAATATGTATTACGTTCAAGAATTCATAAAATGATGGTATACAAATGTGTGATATGAAAATCTCAGAAGAATTGGCAGATGATCAGAAAATTTTACAAAAAATAGTGAATCTGTTTTTGATGAAACTTGGTGCACAGATGCTCTGGACCGATGGTAAAAAACCATGCATATTAATTTGCATGATAATTAGCTATTTTTTAGCTGTTCCATGACTGTTTAACTGATATCTATAAAACCACACTGGCTTTTGATACATAAATGTCTCTGAACTAATGTGCAGATTTATTAAATCTGTGCATATTAATTTCCTAATTTGCATAATAATTAGTCTAAAATTTTGGCTTTTCCACTGACATCTCAAGTACTAATCATCACATTTCAATGAAACTTGGTACATAGATCCTCTAGGATATGCAGAGACCTGATTAGTTTTTGGGTAAATATTTGTGCATATTAATCACCTAATTTGCATAATTAGTTTTCAGCTTTTCCACTGATATCTCAAGTACCAATTATCACATTTCAATGAAACTATTTGCATAGATGGCATGTTTTGGGGGTAATGTTCTTGCATATTAATTACCTAACTTGCATAATTAGTACATTTTTGGCTTTTCTGCTGATTTTTAAACTACTAATCATTACGATGAAACATTACATTATTTCAATGAAACATGGTACATAGATGCTCTGGGATAGTGCAGAGACATGATTAGTTTTTGATTGAAATCCATGCAAATTAATTACCTGATTTGCTTATTAATTAGCCAACTTTTCATTTGTTTCTCAAGAATCATTACAACGAGTTTCAATGAATCCTGATACTCCAGGATATGCACAGATCTTTTGAAAACCATACATATTAATGACTTAATTTACATATTAATTAGCAAATTTCATACATTTTGCTTGTTTCTCAGATATAATTCAATATATTTTAATAAAAATGCTTAATGTTTAGTTGACTATATATGTTCGTGACCTCAATGATATGCATAACTGTAATATCTTAAGTACTGTTGCAGATAGGGACATGCAAATGGTGCTATAATTTTGTTGTCAAACAAGATATATGACAAAAATATGACAAGTCATCATATATGGTCATTATTTCATTAAATATTTATAATTGTAAAAGCATAACTTCTTGAAATCACGCTGAGCATTGCTTGCAGTTCTATTTTTAAATGCTAAATTTGCTCTATTATTTGTACTTTATGCCTTCAATACCTTCAGCACACAGAAGTTCTTTCTGAGCTTTCTTTGATTTCAAATTGTTGACCATGCTATAAAAAGATCTATTTGCTTGCATTGACCAATCAGATTACTTGAATGTTTATGACATAATATGGAAACATGGAAAATTATTACACTGATTTTTAACATTATGATGAACTTCCATTATAGTGAATCTGTACCCCCAAAAGTACCAGGATGTTTGACCTTCAAGGGGGTATCAAGGTCTGCATGGTCATGCAGGCAAAGGTTATAATAGTTTTGCTGTGTTTTTGCAGAGTTGATAATTGTCTGAGAGCAAGATGGTGAACAAGACGGAAGTTATTGAAAGACTGAAAACATTCCACATGCCTAATTTTATAGAGGAACATAGAGATATCCAGGGTCACAAAGCTGCTGTATTGGTGCCGCTATTTTTCCAAAATGACGAAATTTATGTACTTCTCACCGTTCGATCCAAAAACTTGCGTTCACACAGTGGTCATGTAGCTTTCCCCGGAGGCAAGATGGATGAGAGGGATTCTGATCTTTTGGAGACTGCTTTGAGAGAATCATGGGAAGAAATTGGTTTGCCAAGGGACAAGGTAGAAATCGTGTGTCAGGGGATGCCATTCAGCTTCCTTAATAATGTGGTGGTGACTCCATTCATTGGATTTATTGACAGCGACTTTTCACCAATACAGAACAAACGAGAAGTGTCAGATATTTTTAGTATGCCAATCATCAATTTTTTATCTGCAGAGAACCACACATCCACAGTTCACTTGGATGCTTCTGGTAACAAGTCATATGTACATCATTTTGAATATGCTGACAAGGACAAACGCTATTTCCCATTTGGATTTACGGCTTTCATTTGTGTTATTTTAGCGAACATAATTTTTCAAAAAGCGCCTGAATTTGAAATAAGTTCGCTATATAAACCCAATGATCCTGCTAAAATTCTTTTAATTTGGCATCAAAGACGTGTCAAGTCCAACACAATGAAAGCAAATAGTAAACTCTAAAACAAGAATATAACCAACCGTATTTTCTGTTGACATCATACAGCATTGTACCATATCCGATTGAGAAAATCAAGTATATAGAATATATTATAAAAGAATATAAGGTATACTAGTGATAAAAACTCCATTTGACATCACATGAATTGATCCTAGATGGCCATTGCCACGCATTGTGATCAAACTGATCAATAAAAGAACAACTGGCAGCCATCAGGTTTTTTTTAAATGTACATTCTTTACAATCGAATCAAAGATAATATGTTGACTTGCATATTCTTCTCGATTTTCCTTACCATTTGATAAAAATATGGTCAACTGGCAGCCATTTTGTTTCTCAAATTTGCTGAACCTGACAGTTAAATGATGAATGGATTATGCATATCTCTTTTTCTAGATTCAAACAAAATTAGTGGCCATTATTTTTATTTATGCTCCTGCAAATTTCTCATGAATATATCACCTGAGTCAAGTTGAAACTTAGTACACAAAAATAAACTCATAGGTTATGTTATTTTGTAATTTGATCAAATTTAATTTGTTGAGTTGAGGGCCATTTTGTCTAAAATCCTAAAATCATAGTCCAGGATCATTTCTTGCAGATCAACATGGCCTTGTATCAGGATCATAAATTTTGGCTTACGGGTACACTCATAATTCAGTCATAAAACTATACTTATACCGTGTTCACACGTGTGACAAAAACCCGGTTTGGAGATCAGCTCTATAGTTAGCTAGCGTTGAAACACCTATGAATGAAATAAGGTACCATGCTGATTTAAAATGGCAAGTCTCAACCGGCATCCCATAATTACAGAAATGGTTTAGCATGTGTGACTGATAATGAGCCTTAAAAACACTCTCTCAATGTCAGCCTTGCTCTGAAGTTCCATTCATTGCAAGTATTTTACAGAAACATTGCAGCCAATAACAACACTGACTCAGCTTAGTCTTTATACACGTATGAACGTAAGGCCAATTAAAACCACTGGTAATGATTATTTACTAAGTTGGTCAAACTGGCACTGTGGCACATACATGTATGTATTATTGAATAATTTTAATGCAAAAAAAATATTCAGTTTTACCTTGGATGAGAAGCAACACCTTTTTTAGGAGGCTGTATTAAAACATGCATTTAATGGAGAACAACAACAAATAAATGCACAGCAACCTGAAATAAAACAAGAACTTCCCTAAAACTATAGTTTGTAAGAAAAGATGAATAACAGTCTCCCGTGTTCACTCCCATAGTTTATAAAGGTCAAGCCCACATTCTTCTATTTTGGATTCAGACTTTGAACAATGACCCATGGCTATGTCAATTACTGGAGTATGTATGCCTACGTGACTAACCAGTATTGCATTCCTACTCTGCCAGCATGAGTTGACATAGTATTCTTCATTCACGAGAGTCAATTTCATTTTTTATTCCATCAAAGGAAATAGTTAGGAACATTGACAAGGCTTCAATTGACCTCAACATCAATAAAATGTAATTTATTGTCACTTACTGTTCCAACTGTTATTGTTGTCCTTGGACATTGTTCTTCTCAATTTGATATCAAAATTAATATTATTCTTGTAAATTCACATGGACTTAATTTACAGTAGTATTCACAAGTTTGTAAAAAGTTGTGTTGCTATTTATTTTTGAAGACAAGTTATTATTATTTGAAAAATAAAAAGATTCTACAATATAAACCTGTGTTGATGCTATAATATTTTGTTGGTTTTACTGTACGTATAATTGGTATCCTTCCAGAGTTGTTAAAATGAACCCCATTGTAGTGGCATTACCAGGATTTTGTAAAACCTTCAATTGAAAAACAACTGTGTTATTACATGGAACTTTTAGTTCTTTGGATTTATAACTGAGACTCGCAGGTCCATGGTATATGTAAGTGTTATAACAAACAATGACATTTATTTCACTGTAGTAAACCCAATTCATCCGAAAGCAAGCAAAACCTGTATAATACAGTTTTACACAGCCCAGACTGACAGCTCATCAAATGGGTGCTCAGCTGTACAATGTGTTTCTGACCCTCTAACCCCTTCAACATTGTATGCCCAGGCCATAATTCATCACTACCATGGAAGGGGTGGAGCTAAGTGTGCTATTTTTGAAACCAATAATGTGTATACAAATTCTTGTATGATCAGTTACATTAATCGCACTCATTGTTCAAATGTAATAAATAATTTGATTTCAGAAAGCTCTTCCAATATAGTTCACATTTTCGACAAATAATTACTTTCCTCAATCAGACATGAAATGCATTAATTATGAAATGTTTAGATATTCCAGATCTCTTTATTCAACATTTTTGTGAAAAATTAAACTTTCAAACTCTTTCTTTAATTTCACTGGATTTGTGATATGTGAATTTTACCCATAGCAACCAATGAAAAAGGGAACCTGCAATTATAACTGTTATCCTGATTCCAGGCATATGTATTGAATGTATTTTTACTCGGGTGGACACCCAACCCCTTCTATGGGTAATCTTTGTTTCCATGGTAACAAGCACTGCCTCCCTCCTAATTACATTTTTTTCATAAAAGAACGTGAATTTTTAATTTTTATTCAGTGCCCAAACATTTGAGAGAAAATAGTTTGGAACTTGTAAGCACAGTGTATTATTATAACATGTTATGCCATTGGAATGTATGCTTACACAGCTTTTATTTATAACTTTAAGATGCTTATTTATTGGCTATTTATGGGTTGGTATCTGGCGATGTGAACGTTTATATGACCCTCCCTCTGGGTCACCAAGAGTCTGAGTGTTTTATTTCCAATATCTACACTGCAAAAGAAAGATGCCTGCATGCTGTTCAATCTGATTAAAAGAAGATTTTTGTTGGGGGTTGTTCATTTATTTATTTTTTTGTTTATTTTCTTCAAATAAATTTGTTTTTATATTTATTATTTACTGATTATTAATTCCTAGAACTATTTTTTTTGTCTTATTATTCTTTCCCACAAAAATGTGAACTATACCAACCCATTCACAAAGATATTAATTTAATCATATTTCCTGCCTTAAAAATACGTTTGTGGCTGTTGAGTTAGGTCACTGTATCAGGCTTGATGTTTTGGGTCAGCAACTCCCTGTGTTGCCCATGACAACCTGTGTGTTTCTGTGCTGTGCTACATACACTGATTTCTCTGTCCAACAAATGACCTAATTAACAGGTGACACTGAATTACAGCTATCCCTTTTTTTTGTGGCCATTTGCTGGCATGATTTGGGACTTTTCATACTTTTTTCATGATTTTTTCTATTTTGTTAACAGAGTTGAAGAGAAAAAAAAAAAAACATCATAAAAGATGTCCCCAGTCACAAAAAAGGTTACAAATAAAAAAAATTGTGCTATGGACCCACATCTGCCGTAATTATCTTCAAATAGGATATTTTCAGTTGACACAAAATGAAATTTAAGCAGTATAAAAAATATATATGCACAATGTTGAGGAATAAAAAATAGTGTGCTTGTTTCATGGTCTGATATGTTAGAGTTTTGGATTGTTCAGCCATTTCCATTGCCCTGTTCGAATGTTATTAAATAAATAAAATAAAGAAATTTACAAACATTGTTATCAAATTGAAAAATTGGATTTGCAGGTAGGATATACACCCACAGTGTCATCATTGCTGATAGAAATGCAAATAAATATGCCAGAAATAAAAACACTGGGCTGTCATTTTGTTGGATGTGGAATACATTCACTGTACATGTGGACTCCATTTGCCTGGCAACACTTCACCTTGTGTTCACCTGTGTTGCAATATCTGTTAGGGGAATTGATGATTATGAGGGGTGTGTCAGATAGTCTGATAAGATACAGATTACAGGTGCAGCTCTGACATTAAACACACAATTCTGTCTGTGTTATTGCAACATACATTTAGGGTGTGTGGCGTGAGTTCAGAAAATGTATGCTGGTAGGGGGCCTGTCATTATTCATTGGCAGGGAGGGTTGTCCTGGGTGTGTCTGAGGGGGGTCAGTGGAAATTTATACAAATGCAAGTGGGTTACAAAGAAAAATATACATGTATATATAAAGTCAGTCAAATATATACTTGTACATTGAACATTAATTTATTCAAAGGTATTAAGTGGAACAGAACAAGTATCGACAGATTAAATGTTTTATTGTAACATACTGTGAACACAATTTCTATATGAGCATCATACCACACAGCACTATAAATTACCCAGAATTCTCCGATTTCTGATTTTTGGCTTACTATTATGGACCCTATTAAATTCCTGAATAGTCTGCTGTATTTGTTTAACAAAAGTTTGTTTTGCAATGTGTGAATTAAAAATTTACCTCAAAGTATGGTTTAAGCTGATGTAAATCTTCAAAGAATGTAATTGCCAACATAACTACTTGCCCTCAGCACCTGACAGCGCACATGCCTATTTTATTGTTTCGTCTATTCAATGACACAACCATCTACAGTACAGTGTATTTCATAGTATGATTATAAGTTTGGTTTACTGTTTACAAGAATAAAAGAACATTTTGAACAAAAATGCATGAAGCATATCCACAGGTGGCTGTGCACTGGTGAATTTTATCAACCATGTCAGTACAAACCACTAGAAATTGACAATGAGAATGATATTGTAGCTCAAGAACTTGGTGAATCAAATGGAAAAAGTGACACTGAATTACACACATTTTGTGGCTAGGAGTGGTAGACGGGCTGGGTCATGGTTTATGCATTCAAGAAATACAACTAGGTCAGAGTTCAAATATATTACAATATTTAAACCAATGTTTTGGCTTCGGTGGATGGGGGGGGGGGTGATTCGATCTTTTGGAAACAGGGTGTCTGATTTTCATAACATAGTTCTATGGGCCAATCACAATTTCATTATTACTCTGTAATTCCTCTGACCCCCATGTGATAAATAATGACGAGTCCCTGGTGTACGTGAAATTTCGTCGTTACAATCGAATGGATGTTTGTTTACGGCAAGAT